TATCTTCTCAAAAAAAAAAAAAAAAACAAAGAAATACCAAGTATTGGTGTGGATGTGGAGAAAAGAGAACCCTTGTGCACTGTTGGTGGGATTGTAAATTGGTGTAGCCACTATGGAAAACAGTACGGAAGTTCCTCAAAAAATTAAAAATAGAACCACCATGTGATCCAGCAGTTCCACTCTGTGTATTGATCCAAATAAAAAACAGTAACTCAGATACATGCAACCTCATGTTCAGTGCAGCACTATTTACAGTAGCCAAGATATGGGAGCAACCTAAGTGTCCATCGATGGGTGAGTGGATAAAAAAGTCATTTTTATACATATATACATACACGCAATGGAATATTATGCAGCCATTTAAAAGGAGGAACCCAGACATTTTTGACACCATAGATGGACCCTGAGGGCATTTTGCGAAGTGAAATAAGTCAGACAAAGGAAGACATACCTAATCAAAGAAGTACCATATGATCTTATTTATTTGTGGAATCTAAAAAAAATAACCAAGCTCATAGATATAGAGAACAGATTGATTGTTGTCAGAGGCAGGGGATGGGGGTGGGTGAAAGGAATTGAGGGTCAAAAGGCACAAATTTCCAGTTATAAAATAAGTAAATCGTGGGGATATAATGTACACTGGGGTGACTATGGTTAATGCTATATTGCATATTTAAAAGTTGCTAAAGAGTAGATCTTAAAGTTCTCATAGAAAAAATATTGAGAGAAAGCTGGTTGTCAAAGAAAGCACAGTATGGTTTAAAAGCCTTACGAATGGAATCATAAGACCTGAATTAAAATTTAGGCTCAATCATCTAACCATGTGCATTTTTATGCCATTATTTTTTTTTGAATTCTTACTCTCTCCCTAAAGCAGCGATGATGATATGACTATCCGAACCCATCTTACAAATGTATCATGAAGTTGAAATACAGTATAGTCAGTTCTTGATTATCATCATGGGAAAGAAGCATGAACACCAGAAACCCAAATAGTAAACTAGAATGTTTAGTAATTGATTCCAGAATACATTTTTTAAATGTTGATTTATCCTTTTAATTATATTTTGCTTAGGGTAAAATTAATTCTGTTTGTATTTCTTTAACCTACACCAGCAGATGGCAGGAAGAACTAGCCTAGATAATTACAATGTGGTGACAGAAGTCATTTTGGAATTAAAATTTACTATAATTGACAAAATAGAAAACAAAATATTGATTTTGTAGTTATTTGTCACTATTCGTATTTTGCTTGTGTTCTTCAGTGAATTAAAAAGTTTATCAGGAAGTGAGATAAATCCTTTAGTCTCACCAGTTCCCTTTCTGCTCTATTTTTCTGCATGCTGATTTTCCCACAAACCTTAAGCCATCCTATAGTTGTCCAGTGCCCACACACTAATCCCCCCATACACACTACATTTCTCCTGCCCTCTTGTTCACAGCTTCTTGTTCCAAAATTAGGTTATTCTGTACCTCCTTATCTAAGTTTCTGTTCTTTCTCCTTTACTTTTCTCAGCTGGGAATAAGAAGGTATTTACATAATTATTCAAAAAGATTAGCTGACATTAGACAGTATTTGTTTTTAATATATTTTTGATATTTAACCTACGTGCCTCTCCCAGCATCTTCTGCACTCAGTCCGCTATCCCACATTGAAAGAACGAAGAAGCATGTGGCCCCTTTTTGTCCCCATTATTCTGACCACATTGCTATTTAATAATTGATTTACTTTTCTCTTTGGACTACAGTCATAACAGCACATTTGCCCTGCTCTCACTTCATTGTATAATTTATTATGTACATAGGCATCTGTCATCCCAACTATCTATACAAGTGTCTTTAAAGTATAGACCATTCATTCAAAATACTACTTTTGACCCTGTTGGATTAACTAATACCTTCCCACCATAAACAACTATAAAATGTGACAAAATATATGAAGTAGCTGTTTCAGATACCAGACAACAGGAGTGTTATCCAGAAGAGAAAGCAAACAAAAAAGGCAAGTCCTGGAGCCACATTTCTGACCGTGGCACAGAGAGGAGGAAGTCAAGGAAAGCATGGCAGTGAGTGAGTTGAGGAAACTGGGTTCATAGTTTAGGGAGACTGAGATGGTCAGAATATGTACTGGAGAGGAAGGAACTAATCAAAGAAAGGCCCAGAAATCTGCATAGGAGTCCCCTTGAGTCAATTGCTAAATACTAAGTAGACACACACAGAGAGAAACTCCACAAAGCTGGGCAACTACTGGAGAGCTCTAAGCTGAAGGCTTCCCAAAAATTAGACAAGAATGGGCAGTGTTGAGTTCTGTCCCACCAGAGATACCAGTGACCCCTAGAGCATTTGGTAGAGATCCCAGACAGACCACCACTTAGTAGAAGGGGTAAACATGCCCTAAAATAAGATGACTCTAAACTCACCCTAACATCTCAAAAACAGTCCTCAAAAAAATCAGACAGATCCACAAATTACTTAACTGCCTGGACAAAGTTCAGCCCATCTAGATAAACACAACAAAATTAAGATGCTGAACGATGTAACATCTGCAATATTCAGCATCCAATCAAAAATCATCAGTCATGCAAAGTATCAGGAAAATGTGATCTGTGACCAAGAAAAAAATCAATCAAAAACAACTCATAAATAACAGGGACTGTGGAATTAGCAAAGAGGGATTTTAAAAGAACCAATACATATGCCCTGTGATTTAAAGAAAAACATGAAGAGATCCCATCTTATCCAGTTTTGTTTCCAGCAGTTTCAATTACCCAGCTATGGTTCAGAAGCAGGTGATCCTCCTGACGTAACGTCAGAAAGTCAACAGTAGGCCAAAGCTATATCACAAAGCCTACTACTTCATTCACCTCACTTTGTCTCAGCATGGAGGCATTCTTCACCTCACATCATCACAGATGAGTGAGTACAGTAAGATTTTGAGAGACCACATTCATGTAACTTTTATTACAGTAAATTTTTCTATTTTATTATTGTTAATCTCTTACTGTGCCTAATTTATAGTGAAACTTAACACAGGTGCATATGTTTAGGAGAAAACATACTTTATGTAGAGTTAAGTACTGCCTGCAGTTTCAGACATCCACTGCAGGTCTCAGATCGTATCTGCCACAGATAAGGCAGAACTATTATGTAGTGAGGAGAAAGTGGGAGATATATGAAAGAACCAAGCAGATTTAAGAAATGAAAAAATGCAATATCTGACCTGAAAAATTCACTTGTGGCCAATCAACAGAGTAGACATTATAGAAGACATTATATCAACAGAGTACTTATCAACAGAGTGGACATTATAGAAGACAGCACTTGAAAACAGTAGTAGAGATTATCTAAATTGAAGCACAGAAGGGGGGAAAATGGCTGAACAAAATGCACAGAGCCATTGATGTGAGATGAGCAGTCTATAGAAACAATAGAAGTTGAGACAGAAAAGAATTGCTGAGAGTTTGTCCAGAAACTCGCACTACAGTGAATACTGAAAGGAAGTTCTTTAGGTGGAATGAAAATAACTAGATGGAAACTCAGATCCATCAAAGGAATGAAGAGCCCCAGAAATGGAATATATATGGGTAAACACAAAGACATTTTTTTCTTCATTCCTTAATTCCCTTAAAAGGCTATTGACTGTATAAATAAAAATAATAACAGTGTTCTAAGGTTTATATCACATAGAAGTAAAATGTGTGACAATAATAGCACAAAGGTTAGGGAGGTGAAATGGAAAAGTATTGTAAATTACATTTATATACAAAATGGCATCATAATGTTGGAAAATAAACAGATACGGTGAAGATGCTTATCATAAACCCAAAATCAGTCAATTTTAAAAAATAAAAAAAAGAGGTAGAGTTAATAACACCAGTAGTGAAGAGGAATTGGGATGCAGTTAATCCAAAAGAAGCTATGGAAAGAGGAAAGAACTGAGTATCATAATGTTGGGTAGTGATATTGTTATGAAGAAAATTGTGGAGAAGCAATGCTTCATGAATATTTTCACATTTCTGCATGATCAGGACTTTCTGAGCAAGATTACTAGCACCTGCATTAAAGAATGTTTGAATGGCAAGAAAACCTTGAAAGTCAGAGACCTCTGGAGAGATTTAGAGACATCTTACTTGTAGGGGTTTATTTACATCGTAAATCTAGAGCCNTCTTACTTGTAGGGGTTTATTTACATCGTAAATCTAGAGCCCTGCCCCGATCCCTGAGGGAGGATTTGTATATATTACAAAGCAAAGGTCAGTAAGTCTTGTTCCTTCTCCCTCCCTCATCCCACCCCAGAGGGAGGAGAAGAACTGTTTAAAGCATAATTCATGTTTCATTCCCTTAAATAAATCATATGTATGTCTGCAATTTAGGGTTAGGAACCACAGAATCAAGTTTCAGTTGGGAGGCTAAGTTCTTTTTAGAGCTAGAAATAGATATCACTAACTTGGTTTGGAAATTACTCTCATCCTTGTAAATGTGACGTGCACAAATGCTCAGAGGATGGATTTGGTTGAAGAATACAGGCAGTAGGACTAACAGATGAGCATAATGAATTTTAATTGAATAATAACTAATAGTAAAATGCTCTGTTACAGAGGCACACAGCGAGTCAGAAGTTTGCAGCCAGAAGAAGAAAGGATGGCATGCAAAAACCAAAAAACAATATATTCCTTGACTCTTGGCTAGAGCGTGTATTAGTATGACCTCTTCGTTTGAAAGACTTATCCCTGTTTAACCAGATCATTCCATCGTTTGGTATGAATCATCTCTGAGAATCTGTAACAAGCACATCATTGTCAAGACGTTAAAAGCAATTGATAAGTTCTGATAACGCCTGTCAGTGAAAGAACTCAGAGCACAGAACCCAGGCATTGAAGGAGTTGACAAGTATTATTAAACCTATTTTGCAAGAGAAGAAGCTGGTTCAAGGAGGGAAAAGCTGTCAAGGGTAATATAATCAGTAAGTGGTTCAGGCCTCCTGCCTTGCACAACCAGGCTTTAACCACAACAGGGCTTCATGGCCCTGAAGACTATGGGGCCATCTGTGAATGTTTTATCAGTGTTTCCTTCTGTCCAGTTTAAAATGCGTGACATTTTTAACACTACAAATTTCTTCTAAATTCAGATAGGTTTCTTATGATTGGTTTTCTCTGGATTTTCTCCCTCGTTCAGAAATTTACACTATTTTTAATTTTTAAATGGTAGCAAGAGTATTTCTATCAGTACTCCTTCCTCTTTTTTTCTTGCAACACTTTAATTTCTTTGGCACCCTCTAAACTTCGTCTTTGAATTGGGGTGAATCATAGCAATGCTTTCATTGAGGAGATGACGCTCTGTGCAGGTCCTTTCATGAACTCTGATTTCATGATTTTAATAAGGAAAAAGATAGGAAAGCCTGATTCAAAGTAAATCTGGATTTGTAATTTGGAAATGCTCCTGCCTGTTTGTAACTAACTTTCTAGTGGATCTCCACTTCTACTTTCTGCTGTGTGATTCATTTACTTTAAAAAAATAAATAAGCAGTAAACTGTCTTTGTCTGGGTTCAAAAAAAAGAGTGTAAGACAAAGACTTCAGTGCACCTCTTCTATGCAAGACTGTAATGCATGGAGTAAGAGCAAGGGTCAGGGAGGAGGCTGAAGCAGGGAGGCAGCAAGAGCCTGTGCAAGAGATAATTGGCGTGTTCAGCTGGTTGCTCAATCCTGCAGGACAGCCTGAAGAACCATAACCAAGGAACAGGAACTCGAGTAAGAAGAGCGGCATCCGGCAAGGCTCTGTTAGGTCACACCTTCAAGAAGGCAGCTGAAGCCCAGGAAGAACTAGTGGCTGGAAAAAGATATGAGGGAGGCCAGATAAGTCTGCAGTTGTAACAAGTGGCTTCCCATCATAATAAATATACTCCTGTTGCCTAGACTTCCAAGCATAATTAAATAAAATAAAATGTGAACTTCTACTCCTGCTAGAGACTTTTCATCAATATTTCATTTCCTATGCATTTACACATCATATAAGGACACATACATATCTTTTTTCCTTTTAAAGAAACATGAATTGGACCATACTAATCTCCTGTTCTACGATGTGTTTTTCACTCATGTATGACTTGCATCAGGGTTAGGTTTTATCACATTGTCACCGAATTGATTTTGCCCTGTAGGAAGTACACCGGAAACACTGATTTAATGTTTGTTGAATTAATGCATAAATGAAGGAATGACAGTATGAGTTCTAGTACAGTTCTTGCCTATAGAAGAGGAATGCTGCTCACGTTGGGAATGCAGTGGGCAAGGTCTGGCGAAACATGCCATTGCTATTGCCGGACAAGGGAGCAGTTATCCCTGCCAGGCTCCTCCCCATTCAACACCTCACATCTTCAGTTTAGAAGAATGGATGCTATGGAAGGGAGACACAGAAAAGAGATGTAGGAAACAATGTTTCACTCTACCCTTCTGAGCTCTTGGCTGAGACTTCTGTAATAAAAGACATATTAACAAGAGAAAAACAAACAGAAGCGTATTAACTATATCCCAGGGAAAATGAGTAACCTCCCAAGGTGACTTAGAATTCAGGATTAAATACCATCTGAATAGGGAAAAGGAGGAGAGAGGTCAGCCTCTTTGGGGAGAGAAAATGACTTTTAGGGAAGATGAATGGGTCCTTAGAGTAGATGGGAGGTATATGACATCTTGTGACAAGGTCTGTCTGGGTGTGGTGTTGACTCTAGTCTCTCCCAAAAGTCAAACCTCTCTGGTTGAGGAAAC